GCAGAAGGCCTTATTTTAAAACATGAGAGGCTTGCTTTTACTGAATGAGATTTTTTTATTTGTTATTTGCCACAGTAAGGTGTGGGAGGTATGTTTTGAGCGAATGTGAGACGTGTATGAGGTTAAGGACAATATTGGTTACTACTGAAAACGCATTGAAATCTCCAATGCCCAGGGCTCTGTTTTTTCATATAAATGAATGATAGCAGTTTTTTCATTTTATTTTTTGCCCTATGCATAATAAACGATCCTTCAAGAAAGATTGTCAAAGCTCAAATTACATTCTCTAGAATGAAGATGACGAAGAAGAAATAGGGGTGACATGATAGAGGTGCGACTGAATGGTCATAGTAAAGGGGAATATTAATAACCTATTATACGTATCAACATGAAACAGAATAGGCATGAATTGAATAAGTTTTATATTTAGGAAAAAGACCTGGGTAAATATAGGTAACAGGGGACGAACTTGAAAATACATACATAACTTCTTGCAGTGCTTCTCTAGAACGACGATGATGAAGAAGAAATAGGGGTGACATGATAGACGTGTGACTGAATGGTCATAGTAAAGGGGAATATTAATGACCCATTATAAGTATCAACATAAAACAGAACAGGAATGAATTGGATAACTTATATATTTAGGAAAAAGACCTGGGTGAATATAGGTAACAGGGGAAGAACTCGAAAAATACACAAATAACTTCTTGCAGTGGTGCTCGCCTTTTGTTTCATGCAATGACCGATGGTTGGAAGTAAATAGGAAATTTAAAATAGTCTAGGGTTGATGGTATTTTACATTAGGTTTCAGGGTTACTGTTTTTTGCCCTATGCATAATAAACGATCCTTCAAGAAAGATTGTCATAGCTCAAATTACATTCTCTAGAACGACGACGAAGAAGAAGAAATAGGGGTGACATGATAGAGGTGTGACTGAATGGTCATACTAAAGGGGAATATTTATAACCTATTATACGTATCGACATGAAACAGAATAGGAATGAATTGGATAAGTTTTATATTTAGGAAAAAGACCTGGGTAAATACAGGGAGCAGGGGACGAACTTGAAAATACACACATAACTTCTTGCAGTGCTGAAGTTATGTTCTTCCCTCACATACTTGTTTCCCTTTGATGAATGTAATGGGCGATGGTTGGAAGTAAATATGAAATTTAAAATAGACTAGGGATGATGGTATTTTATATTAGGTTTCAAGGATACTGTTGTATCGCAAAACCCATGATGCTACGACCGGCTTTTTAATCTCCTCGAACATGCCGGTGCAGGAATGCTGAGCGGCTACCTGGTGACGTCATTGACCATTAGCAATGTCTGTGCAGGGTCACTAAGCCAACGAAATTTGGGGATGCCAGGGACCAGCTTTTTAATCCCTAGGCAAGTTGAATCGAGAAAACCCAGGGTGCGTAGACCGTGCCCGGAAAAAACAAAAACGCACGGTCTATGTCGTACTTCAAGTTCGTGAAACTAGGGGTGCGTAGACAGGCCCCGGAAAAAAAAAAAAAAAAAAAAACGACCGGTCTAAAAGTTGAAAATAACCCTGCGACGTAGAGCGTCCCTGGGAAAAAACAAAACGGACGCTCTATGGGGCTGCGACGTAGAGCGTCCCTGGAAAAAAACAAAACGGACGCTCTATGGGGCTGCGACGTAGAGCGTCCCTGGAAAAAAACAAAACGGACGCTCTATGGCATCATGCCATAGAGCGTCCCTGGAAAAAAGAAAAACGGACGCTCTATGGCATCAATCCCACTACTGGTGTGGTGAACCTTGTGGTCGTGTATGGTGGTGTGGTGAACCTTGTGGTCGTGTATGGTGGTGTGGTGAACCTTGTGGTCATGTATGGTGGTGTGGTGAACCTTGTGGTCATGTATGGTGTGGTGAACCTTGTGGTCATGTATGGTGGTGTGGTAAACCTTGTGGTCATGTATGGTGTGGTGAACCATGTGGTCATGTATGGTGGTGTGGTGAACCTTGTGGTCATGTATGGTGTGGTGAACCTTGTGGTCATGTATGGTGGTGTGGTGAACCTTGTGGTTATGTATGGTGGTGTGGTGAACCTTTTGGTCATGTATGGTGTGGTGAACCTTGTGGTCGTGTATGGTGGTGTGGTGAACCTTGTGGTCATGTATGGTGGTGTGGTGAACCTTGTGGTCATGTATGGTGGTGTGGTGAACCTTGTGGTCATGTATGCTGGTGTGGTGAACCTTGTGGTCATGTATGGTGGTGTGGTGAACCATGTGGTCATGTATGGTGTGGTGAACCATGTGGTCATGTATGGTGGTGTGGTGAACCTTGTGGTCATGTATGGTGTGGTGAACCTTGTGGTCGTGTATGGTGGTGTGGTGAACCTTGTGGTCATGTATGGTGTGGTGAACCTTGTGGTCATGTATGGTGGTGTGGTGAACCTTGTGGTCATGTATGGTGTGGTGAACCTTGTGGTCATGTATGGTGGTGTGGTGAACCTTGTGGTCATGTATGCTGGTGTGGTGAACCTTGTGGTCATGTATGGTGGTGTGGTGAACCATGTGGTCATGTATGGTGGTGTGGTGAACCTTGTGGTCATGTATGGTGGTATGGTGAACCATGAGGTCATGTATGCTGGTGTGGTGAACCTTGTGGTCATGTATGGTGGTGTGGTGAACCATGTGGTCATGTATGGTGGTGTGGTGAACCTTGTGGTCGTGTATGGTGGTGTGGTGAACCTTGTGGTCGTGTATGGTGGTGTGGTGAACCTTGTGGTCATGTATGGTGGTGTGGTGAACCATGTGGTCATGTATGGTGGTGTGGTGAACCTTGTGGTCATGTATGGTGGTGTGGTGAACCTTGTGGTCGTGTATGGTGGTGTGGTGAACCTTGTGGTCATGTATGGTGGTGTGGTGAACCTTGTGGTCATGTATGGTGGTGTGGTGAACCTTGTGGTCATGTATGGTGGTGTGGTGAACCTTGTGGTCATGTATGGTGTGGTGAACCTTGTGGTCATGTATGGTGGTGTGGTGAACCTTGTGGTCATGTATGGTGTGGTGAACCATGTGGTCATGTATGGTGGTGTGGTGAACCTTGTGGTCATGTATGCTGGTGTGGTGAACCTTGTGGTCATGTATGCTGGTGTGGTGAACCATGGGGTCATGTATGGTGGTGTGGTGAACCTTGTTGTCATGTATGGTGGTATAGTGAACCATGTGGTCATGTATGCTGGTGTGGTGAACCTTGTGGTCATGTATGGTGGTGTGGTGAACCATGTGGTCATGTATGGTGGTGTGGTGAACCTTGTGGTCGTGTATGGTGGTGTGGTGAACCTTGTGGTCATGTATGGTGGTGTGGTGAACCATGTGGTCATGTATGGTGGTGTGGTGAACCTTGTGGTCGTGTATGGTGGTGTGGTGAACCTTGTGGTCATGTATGGTGGTGTGGTGAACCTTGTGGTCATGTATGGTGGTGTGGTGAACCTTGTGGTCATGTATGGTGGTGTGATGAACCTTGTGGTCATGTATGGTGTGGTGAACCTTGTGGTCATGTATGGTGGTGTGGTGAACCTTGTGGTCATGTATGGTGTGGTGAACCATGTGGTCATGTATGGTGGTGTGGTGAACCTTGTGGTCATGTATGGTGTGGTGAACCTTGTGGTCATGTATGGTGTGGTGAACCTTGTGGTCATGTATGGTGGTGTGGTGAACCTTGTGGTCATGTATGGTGGTGTGGTGAACCATGTGGTCATGTATGGTGGTGTGGTGAACCTTGTGGTCATGTATGGTGTGGTGAACCTTGTGGTCATGTATGGTGTGGTGAACCTTGTGGTCATGTATGGTGGTGTGGTGAACCTTGTGGTCATGTATGGTGGTGTGGTGAACCTTGTGGTCGTGTATGGTGGTGTGGTGAACCTTGTGGTCATGTATGGTGGTGTGGTGAACCTTGTGGTCATGTATGGTGGTGTGGTGAACCTTGTGGTCATGTATGGTGGTGTGGTGAACCTTGTGGTCATGTATGGTGGTGTGGTGAACCTTGTGGTCATGTATGCTGGTGTGGTGAACCTTGTGGTCATGTATGGTGGTGTGGTGAACCTTGTGGTCATGTATGGTGGTGTGGTGAACCTTGTGGTCATATATGCTGGCGTAGTGAACCTTGTGGTCATGTATGCTGGTGTGGTGAACCTTGTGGTCATGTATGGTGGTGTGGTGAACCTTGTGGTCATGTATGGTGTGGTGAACCTTGTGGTCATGTATGCTGGCGTAGTGAACCTTGTGGTCATGTATGGTGTGGTGAACCTTGTAGTCATGTATGCTGGCGTAGTAAACCTTGTGGTCGTGAACGCTGGCGTAGTGGTTGTAGTTCTTACAATGCCAAGGTAGAGGTAGACATGTGGTTGATAATTGTTTGTAGTGTGGAACTTCAACATCACTCACAGAGAACACCATTAGTGTGTACAATATGTAACACACTGGACACTACTGTGGAGACTATGTATCTGTGGCCGACGTCTTCAGATGAGTGTAGAGATACGTTTGTCCCATGAGACTTACTCATTACTTAATACAGACAATATTTGTAAACTTCCACAAGTAAATTCTAAACAGCATCACACTCAGCTGCCCAGCAAGAAGCAGCATAAGAGCTCACAGCATAACCTCTCCTGCATCTCCCGAGCTTCAAGAAATATTCCCACACTCAGTGATTCCATCTTTTTCAAAAGAAAACGATCTTAACATTCGAGGGGAGACTTAAACTTTGAGGACGTCGGTGCCTGTCACCATCAACTTTACATGTTTTTCCTCAATAAAAAAAAAAGTTTGTTTTAGAAGGGTGAACGATTGGCCCAAGAGATGAACATTTTAGACGCTAGCGGATCTCCCCCCCCTTCTTGATATGGTATTGATTGTTTACATTCTATTATTCCTTGATTAATGAAATACTATTAATCTTTTATTGAACTTTAAAACAAATACTTTTATAAAATAACAAAAATTAAGATTACCACAAACCTCTTTTTTGGTAGACGATGACAACCTGAGGATGTCTGAAGTGCCACCAGCTCTAAACTCCCTCTTTAACCGAGCGCTTTTTGCTGCTTACTTTAACAAAAGCTTAACGCTCGCTGGTTGACCAAAAGCTGTAGGCTGGAGAGTTGTTGAGGAAAGTTTGTCTTTAATCACGTATCACATCACACCAGGACACACTGTGAATGTGTGAATGTGGCCAAGTGTCACACACAGGTCAAGGCCTTGTGGTCACTCAATGGTCAGTACCTCCGGGACACCATGAACACTGTTCACAACAGATAATATCAATACATCCTGGTAAAACCAAAAGCTAGACACTTCACACACACGAGAACTGTTAACAGTACACTACTGACAACTACACTGGCGTCAACGGTGACACGAGAACTGTTAACAGTACACTACTGACAACTACACTGGCGTCAACGGTGACACGAGAACTGTTAACAGTACACTACTGACAACTACACTGGCGTCAACGGTGACACGAGAACTGTTAACAGTACACTACTGACAACTACACTGGCGTCAACGGTGACACGAGAACTGTTAACAGTACACTACTGACAACTACACTGGCGTCAACGGTGACACGAGAACTGTTAACAGTACACTACTGACAACTACACTGGCGTCAACGGTGACACGAGAACTGTTAACAGTACACTACTGACAACTACACTGGCGTCAACGGTGACACGAGAACTGTTAACAGTACACTACTGACAACTACACTGGCGTCAACGGTGACACGAGAACTGTTAACAGTACACTACTGACAACTACACTGGCGTCAACGGTGACACGAGAACTGTTAACAGTACACTACTGACAACTACACTGGCGTCAACGGTGACACGAGAACTGTTAACAGTACACTACTGACAACTACACTGGCGTCAACGGTGACACGAGAACTGTTAACGGTACACTACTGACGACTACACTGGTGTCAACGGTGACACGATAACTGTTAACGGTACACTACTGACGACTACACTGGCGCCAACGGTAACACGAGAACTGTTAACGGTACACTACTGACAACAACACTGGCGTCAACGGTAACACCAGATAACAGCACACAAGCCACCACTACGCTTATCTATATCAAGGTGGACGTAACGTTGAGCGACAAAAAGCGATACCAGTGACAAAAATATGGGTTCCTTTCTAGATTATCTTCCACACTAATGAGACAACTCTGTGCTCCCTCTGTTACTGGTGATATTTATCACACACTACTGGTCTGTGTGTACTCTGTGCTCCCTCTGTTACTGGTGATATTTATCACACACTACTGGGCCAGCTGTGTGTACTCTGTGCTCCCTCTATGTTACTGCAACCCGCTCTGGCTATAACATAGTACCTATGTGGCCAAAGACTTATAGTTCCTAAGAGGCTAATGTTCATAGTTTATCTGTGGTAGATTTCCAGCTATCTCCTATCACCAGGCACCAACCCTTCCTCAAGTATCATAGTCTCATAGTACCCGTCACATCACTGTAGAGAGCATAAGGGTCCGTTTGCTCAAATTTTAATGGATGCTTTTATTTTTCCAGTAAAACTTCTGATGTGAAATTTACGTACTATTTTCCATGTTATTCAAGTATCATGGATACGCTACATCCAATTGAAGGCTCGTAGTTTTGTTTTGAGAAATCATTGTAGTTTTAAATAAATTATAATAAGCATTAAAAATTATTACATATTATTATGGGGCTCTAAATTAATTTAATATACAATTGTGTGTGCTTTGAAATCTAAAGAGAGTGAATTGCAGGAACGTCAACAGAAAATGATAATAATAATAATAATAATAATAATAATAATAATAATAATAATAATATTTTATTTAGGAAAAGTACATACATGCAGAGTTACAAACATTCTGATTGATTTATAGATAGAGCAAGTACATACAATACCTAAAGCCACTAATACACATAGCGTTTCAGGCAAAACAACCCGAAGTTGCAATGGGGGTACACTACTGAAAACAGGATAGATCTATGGTCCACAACAAATCTCACGATGAGTCCACTACCACCTAAAACGATAGGTATGGGGTCCACTATCACCTGTTGGATGGGTATGGGGTTCATTACCACCTATAGGATGGGTATAGGATGGTCCATTACAGCCTCATGATTGGCATGGGGTGAATTACTGCCCACAGCATGGGCATGGGGTCCACTACCGCCAATAGGAAGACTATGGGGTTCACTTCCATCCACTGGATGGTTATGAGGTCCACTACCCCAAAGCATGGGTATGGGGTCCACTACCCCAAAGCATGGGTATGGGGTCCACTACCGCCCAGAGGATGAATGTATGGTCCACTTCCTCCTTTATGATGGGTATGTGGCCAGTACCGCCCACAGGATGAGTATGGGGTCCCCCAAGGCCCTCAGGAGAAGTATGGGTTATACTACTTCCCACATGATAGGTATGGGGGGAACACTACCGCCCGGAAGATGGGTGAATAGTTCACTTCTGCCCACAGAATGGGTATGGGTCCTCTACCGCCCCGGGATGGGACCCCCAGGTGTCCACTACCACCTGAAGATGGTTATGGAGTCCGCTATTGCCTACAGGATCAAGTACTGCCCAGAGGATTGCTAAAGGGTGCGGTACTGCCCCATACCCATCCGGTAGTGCATATGGGATCTGGTACTCTAGGTGGGACCATAGAGCCAAAGCTCAACACATGAAAGCACAATTAGGTGAGAACAGGATGGGTATGGCGTCCTCTACCCTCCACAGAATGGGTACTGGGTCAACTACAGCTCACGGGTTTGGCTATGGGGTCAACTACAGCTCAAGGAATGGGGTAAGGGGTCAAATATAGCTCACGGGCTGGGGTATAGGGTCAAATATAGCTCACGGGTTGGAGTATGGGGTCAACTACGGCTCACGGGATGGGGTATGGGGTCAGCTACAGCTCATGGATTAGGGTATGGGGTCAACTACAGCTCACGGGTTGGGGTATAGGGTCAACTACAGCTCACGGGTTGGGGTATGGGGTCAACTACAGCTCACGGGTTGGGATATGGGGTCAACTACAGCTCACGGGTTGGGGTATGGGGTCAACTACAGCTCACGGGTTGGGGTACGGGGTCAACTACAGCTCACAGGTTGGGGTATGGGGTCATCTATAGCTCACAGGTTGGGGTATGGTGTCACCAACAGTCACAGGTTGGGGTATGGGGTCAACTACAGCTCACGGGTTGGGGTATGGTGTCATCTATAGCTCACGGGTTGGGGTATGGGGTCAACTACAGCTCACGGGTTGGGGTATGGGTCAACTACAGTCACAGGTTGGGGTATGGGGTCATCTGCAGCTCACGGGTTGGGGTATGGGGTCAACTACAGCCACAGGTTGGGGTATGGGGTCATCTACAGCTCACGGGTTGTGGTATGGGGTCAACTACAGCTCACGTGTTGGGGTATGGGGTCATCTGCAGCTCACGGGTTGGGGTATGGGACCAACTACAGTCACAGGTTGTGGTATGGGGTCATCTACAGCTCACGGGTTGGGGTATGGGGTCAACTACAGTCACAGGTTGTGGTATGGGGTCATCTACAGCTCACGGGTTGGGGTATGGGGTCAAGTACAGCTCACAGGTTGGGGTATGGGGTCAACTACAGCTCACAGGTTGGGGTATGGGGTCAAATATAGCTCACGGGTTGGGGTATGGGGTCAACTATAGCTCATGGGATGGGGTATGGGGTCAACTACAGCTCACAGGTTCGGGTATGGGGTCAGCTACAGCTCACGGGTTGGGGTATGGGGTCAACTACAGCTCACGGGTTGGGGTATGGGGTTAACTTCAGCTCACAGATTGGGGTATGGGGTCATCTTTAGCTCACGGGTTGGGGTATGGGGTCAACATGGGGTCAAGTACAGCTCAAGGTTTGGGGTACACTACAGCTCACGGGTTGGTGTATGGGGTCAACTACAGCTCACGGGTTGGGGTATGGGGTCATCTTTAGCTCACGGGTTGGGGTATGGGGTCAACTTCAGCTCACGGGGTGGGGTATGGGGTCAAGTACAGCTCAAGGGTTGGGGTACACTACAGCTCACGGGTTGGTGTATGGGGTCAACTACAGCTCACGGGTTGGGGTATGGGGTCAACTACAGCTGACGGGTTGGAGTATGGGGTCAACTACAGCTCACAAATTGGTGAATGGGGTCACACAGTCTCCGTGGTGTAGTGGTAAGACACTCGCCTGGCGTTCCGCGAGCGCTATGTCATGGGTTCGTATCCTGGCCGGGGAGGATTTACTGGGCGCAATTCCTTAACTGTAGCCTCTGTTTAACGCAACAGTAAAATGTGTACTTGGATGAAAAAACGATTCTTCGCGGCAGGGGATCGTATTCCAGGGACCATAGGATTAAGGACTTGCCCGAAACGCTACGCGTACTAGTGGCTGTACAAGAATGTAACAACTCTTGTATATATCTCAAAAAAAAAAAAAAAAAAAAAAAAAAAACTATAGCTCACGAGTTGGGGTATGGGGTCAACTACAGCTCACGGGTTGGTGTATGGGGTCAACTACAGCTCACAGGTTGGGGTATGGTGTCATCTATAGCTCACGGGTTGGGGTATGGGGTCAACTACAGCTCACGGGTTGGGGTATGGGGTCAACTACAGTCACAGGTTGGGGTATGGGGTCATCTGCAGCTCACGGGTTGGGGTATGGGGTCAACTACAGTCACAGGTTGGGGTATGGGGTCAACTACAGTCACAGGTTGGGGTATGGGGTCATCTGCAGCTCACGGGTTGGGGTATGGGGTCAACTACAGCCACAGGTTGGGGTATGGGGTCATCTACAGCTCACGGGTTGGGGTATGGGGTCAACTACAGCTCACGTGTTGGGGTATGGGGTCAACTACAGCTCATGGGTTAGGGTATGGGGTCAACTACAGTCACAGGTTGTGGTATGGGGTCATCTACAGCTCACGGGTTGGGGTATGGGGTAAAGTACAGCTCACAGGTTGGGGTATGGGGTCAACTACAGCTCACAGGTTGGTGTATGGGGTCAAATATAGCTCACGGGGTGGGGTATGGGTCACCTATAGCTCATGGGATTGGGTATGGGGTCAACTACAGCTCACAGGTTCGGGTATGGGGTCAGCTACAGCTCACGGGTTGGGGTATGGGCTCAACTACAGCTCACAGATAAGGGTATGGGGTCAACTACAGCTCACGAGTTGGTGTATGGGGTTAACTACAGCTCACGGGTTGGGGTATGGGGTCACCTACAGTGTGGGAACCGACCTGTGAGATTTATATTTATTTAATTTATATGAATTTATATTTACGTTAATTTATATACGTCGATAGCAATTTGTATAATGTTAAGTGGACTGTATTTCTGCAATAATCTCACAAATCGATCCTCTACACATTAGGGGGGGTTTATATTTATATATATATATGCAGCCAATCAAACTACAGGAATTAACTACATACATTGAAGAGGTTCCTTATCTTATAGTACAGCAGGTTAGTCCACCAGGTATAACTAGGGTGTAGACACCAAATTATCCTCTTTGAGGTAGCTTCTATCACCCAGTAACTGGTGCACATAATCTTGCATCCTCGTCTTGACCTGTCAAAAGTGCGCTAGCTGTGAAGCCAGAATCCTATATATGACAAGCTATATCAGAGAAAACACTATACAGTACATGGAACATTAAAGACCTGGCTTAATTACCTTTAGTATGAGGCGATTTCGCGTTCTAACCGGCTAACCCTATATCCTGACATTAATGGCCATAAATGAATGATAAACGGGTTTCGGATAGACACTTAACTTGTATTTGTAGACAGCGTGTTGACAATGGTACACCTTTGGGTTCCATAACACTACGTCCAAGTAAATTTAACAGGAGCCGAATTTGCTCCCGTGTGAGCCTCTGGTCTCAATAACAATAGCTGCCCTCCTTCCCCACTGACGCCTGGCCTACTTTGTCCAGATTTCAGAAAGTGATAGAAGGGTCACATTTACTCTACTTTAATATTGATAATTAAGT